GGAAGTGGCCTTTCTAAAAATAAAAAAAAAGCAAACCCTCCTTGTGATACACTTGTGAACATTTTAAAAGACCCATTTCGCTGTGTTCCAGAAAAATCCCCATTATAGCTAGTGCATTACATGGTTGTTGTTGGGGGAAAGGTGGGTCTTTTCTATTGGCAATGATTTACTTTTTATAGGCCCACATTGAAATGTGGTCGTATATTGTCGTCGCCCCCCTTTTGCTGTTAATATCCGATTGACTTTAAATTTATACGCAGTGTTTAAGGTCATAAGACGAAGAAGCCTTTGATTTGCTCTGCCCAGGCAACGTTCCTGTGCTCCGATTGCCTTCAAATATGCACAGAATGTACCTTGGGATTCTAGCTATCACATATTAAAAATAGAAGAGTGTTGGATTCCGAGAACGTTCAAAATAAATTCAAAACCCGCCCCCAACAATCAAAGGTTTTTTGCTTAAAAAATTGCCGTATTTTATCGAATTTTTATTGTTCTTGATATCTGAGGATTTTTCTCAATTTAGTATGTGATAAATATCATCGCGGCGCAGCCAACCGCTAGAAATTCCAGAGATTTGGACCACCGGAATGATGCCTCAGCAGTCAAAAAAGGTCAAAATAGGCGATTTCGGTTTCTAGTGTCGATACATCGTTACGGTCATTTTAAAAATTTGTCTTTTAAGGATAATGTGTATAGTACCAGTACCTATCACATACGGAAGAGGCGATAAAATCTCTTTGCATTTGCAATTTCAAAATTAATTAAAACCAATATTAAATTCCGAAAATCGTTTTTTTGCTAAAACTTTGCTTAATCGGATCAAAATGGGAGTAAGGCACAGAGTCCGGGGTGGTAATGGGCGTATTGTGTCCAAATTTCATGGTTTTCGGACAATCGGTGCCGGTGTCACGGCGAAATTCCACTTTTTTCCCCTCATGGAAGCCGTAAATTGACTTGAAGCCAGGGTCCTTGAAGTTGTACAGCTGCACCCGGTGACCGATATTTATTTAACGGGGAATAAGTGATAATTCATATTATAGCAGTAAATAATTAAAATATTTCATAGGGATTATAATAATATCTATATCTTGTCTGGGTACAGGGTTAAAACCAATATTAAATTCCGAAAATCGTTTTTTTGCTAAAACTCTTTTTTTTTAATGGGATCAAAATGGGGGTAAGGCACAGAGTCCGGGGTGGTAATGGACGTATTGTGTCCAAATTTCATGGTTTTCGGACAATCGGTGCCGGTGTCACGGCGAAATTCCACTTTTTTCCCCTCATGGAAGCCGTAAATTGACTTAGAAAAAAAACGACGAAAGGCAGGTGACAAGAACAAACGACTTGAACGAATGCAGGTATCACCTTGAAATTTTCAGGGTACCTAGGTACCAACGTGAAAAGTTGCTCGCCGGAATTTAGTACTCATGGTACCTTTGGTTCCAGCGTAGCGCATGCGCGAAGTCAAATCCAGCTAAACTCGAAAACAACCTTGTCGGCACGGAAAACATCAAAGGAGAAATTCGAATAAAAAATGATACAATGATTTCACACAACAGGCCAGCTATTAGCCTCTCGATTGACAAGAGTTTCATCGCCCTCCATTCATTATAACCAATGTCATCGTGCCCTAAAGAATCAACAAATCAGCTTGCTTATCTCTGCTTACCCTAGGCAAAAAATGCTCATCTTTGAACTCAATCATGACATTGACCTAGTGAACGCCTACACCAAGTTTGAACATTCTAGCTTAATTAGAAGGAGAGTTCTTGTGTTCCAAAGTCCCGGCCCTTCAAATTGCTTCTATTTTTCATTTTCAATTCAAAATGGTGACCATCACGTGACCGAAATCAAAATTCTGATCCGATAGATTTTTAGGTATTCCTTCCAGGATTCCGAAAATATGACGACCGAGTCTGTAAGTAAAATAGCAAAAAAGCCTTTTTGATTTTTCACGTTTAAAGATGGTGGCACTTCCGGTTCGATCGACAAACTCCATATTTTGTGTACGAATCAGTAATTACTTGTCTAGTATCGAATTTTTTTTTTAGGTCATTCTGACCTATATTTCGACGATTTTTTTGAAAACTTTGATCCTTAATTTCACCAAGGGGAGATAATTTAGAAAATTTCCAAGGACATCATTGAAGTCGCATTGGCAAGATCTACTAACATTCTAAATTTCACGAAAATCGCACAACTATTAAAGAAGTTGTCAAATTGGTAATAACTTCCGGTTCGAAATGACAGCGACGAATTTTCGAAATGCCAAAATCCGAAATTGCAGATTTGAAGTAAATGTTTCAAGATACTCAAAGAAAAATAAATTAGTAAAATAGGTCAAATAGTCACAGAGTTACAGCATTGTAGGTCAAATGCATTCCTTCGTAAAATTCGGTGATTTCGGATTCGTAAAACGTTTTGAAAATATATTTAATCAACAGCCACCACCCATTTTTGGGGGGATAGGTAAAAGTTTCAGAACGATCCTATGGTTAGATTCTGAGAAATCCGATTTGTGGACAAAACACAAAAAAAAAATAACAATAATAATCTTAACAGAAACAATAAGCTTTCATATGTAATATGAAAGCTTAATAATCTTAACAGAAACAATAAGCTTTCATATGTAATATGAAAGCTTAATAATAATAACTAGACCTGCAAGTAGCACTGAACCGGCTTTCAGGAATCAGACAGGAAGCGTGTCATACAATAGCCCATTTATCAAGCTACCAAACGATACTTTAGATGTTTTGATCCGGTCACACCCGATGGTGAAATCCCGATTATTGCAAGAGCACCGATTATTTTAAATATCGAATATTTATTTGACTACATTCTGTTTACGGATCATTATCGGGATAGATTTAACAAGTGGTATGGGAACTTAACTTCCTGTACCAGAAGTTTCAGACAGATCCATTGGACAGTTTTACCTCTCTTATACCATTAGAAGCAGATTTATAGATATAACGATTTTTCGACTTTTTTCAAAGATTGTGGCCCTTTTGTACCATTTATACTATATTGAGGCTTTTAAATTTTGATTCATACCATAGACCACCGTTAGGACTCTAAGTAAAAGAAGTTTAAGAAAGGAAATAAGAGAAGTTTTCGAAATAAAAGCGTCTGAATAGGCTCCAAAAAGGAAAATAATAGATTTTCAGCGTTTCATTATATATTGCCTAACCATTTAGATGTCATACGAATGTCCATTTAGTTGTTTTGATTCGGTGAAATCTTACGTAGTAATAACTTTTTTCGCAAGATCACCATTTTTTCTCAATATATCGGATATTTTTTCGACTACTTCCGGTTTTGGGATCATTGTCGGAATAGTTTTAACAAGTTGTTTGGTTACCTAGCCTTCTGTACAAGAAGTTTTAGAAAAATCCATTTAGCTGTTTTCCAAAGAAAGAAAAATAGAAGAGCATTTTCAGTAATTTAAGGATTTTTCAACTTTTTTCCAAGATTGAGGCTCTTTTTCGACCACTTATATTATTTCAATGCTTTTATTTTTGGACTCACGCCGTAGTCCACCAATAGGACTCTGGGTAAAAGAAGTTTGAGAAAAATCGTAGTTTTCGTTTTCGAGAAAATGGCGTCTCAAAATGCTCCAAAACGGAAAATACTAGATTTTCGGCGTACCATAATTTATTTTCTAGCCATCTAAATCGCATCATTCAGATGTCATATGATAGTCCATTAATGGGGCTATCCAGCGATAATTTAGTTCTTTTGATCCGCTTAGATCTGATGGAGAAATCAAGTTTTTCGCAAGAGCGCTAATTTTTTTTAACCTTTTTCTTCATTTTTTGAATACGTCCGGTATGGAGATTATTGTCGGGATAGTTTTGATAACCTGATTGGCTTATCAAATAGCCACAGGGCTATGTAATGAAATATTACATTGTCTGATCAGATAAAATGCCCCTGGGAAATCCTATGTTCAAAAGTGTCAAAAATATCAAAATGTCAAAATATCGAAAATTAAATTTAAATATTTTAATACATATTATAGATCGTTAGAATCGTAATTACGTCAGCTATCTGAATATGTAACTTTTTTGTAATTTTTTTTAAAAATAATAAAGTAATAGAGTATTTTCCAAAATTATTCCAATGCAAACTGTAATGATATGTGTTCTCAATTGTAACCTTAACACAGTTTAAGGTTGCAAGTATAGTAACTAGGTAGCCATGGTGTCTGAGATACTTGCTCATGAGCCTCAAGGTAGCATATTTGCTCTCTGCTCTGGCCTCACAAGGACACCTGTCTAGTCATGCCTTTGGGACACAAAGCCATGGAGCGTGGACCAATGTATTGTATATGTTGGCGTGCCCAGAAAAGATCCCATGGCAGTTAGTATTCAGTGTAAGAGTAGGCAATAGTGGCACTGCCAGCTAAGATTTCCTGCTCCCTGCTTTGGCCTCACAAGGACACCTGTCTAGTCGTGCCGATGGAACACAAGCCGTGGAGCGTGGACCCATGTATACGTTGGCGTGCCCAGAAAAGTTCCCTTGGCAGTTAGTATTCAATTTAAGAGTAGGCAATAGTGGCACTGCCAGCTAAGATTTCCCTCAATGCACACTGTATGGTGTATTGCCGTCTTCATTAGCCCAGTAGGTGTAGAAAACGTAAGCGTACAATTTCATTTCATTGGAAGCCACAATCTTTCAGCCAGAAAGAACAGAGCAGTGACTATTGCTTTGCATTGGAGTGAAAACCAAGGTCTCATGCACAAGTTGAGAGCATTAAAAAAAGAACAGTTAGAAAAACAAATAAGAGAACAGAAAATTTCCCTCATAGATTTATAGGAAAACCTTGAAATTGAGAATGCAAAATAGCAGTTGGCCATATTCCATGCCAAAAACTACTGCATGGTGCATTGCTGTTTTTATAAGCAGCAGTAGGACATTAAAACCTCATTGATATTCCATTTCATATATCATTTGATTTACAAAATTATAATTTTGTATTTTTTAATTTTTGTTAGCATTTATTATTGACTGTTATTGGAGCTCATGTACTTTTTCAAACTGGATTATTATTTTGTTTTTGGTGATGGGCAGATCAACACTATGGTAAGTCTCAGTGATATGTAAACTAAGTGCAGTAGCGTCCAAACCCTATAAAACTAAAGCAATAGTGCCTACTTGGTGTTGTCTGTGGAATTGATCTTTGGTGCATTCATATGTAAGTGCAAACATGTGTTGATGTTAAATTTAGGATTGTAAATAAAACTGTAACTCTCATACATGTACATGTACTGTCATCACTTATAAAAGGTGAATTTTCATAGCATCTCAGTGAGTTAAAGTTTTTATACTATTTTGTATTTCAGGTTTTCAAGGAAAGATGTCTTATTTCCAATTTTAAAGAATCTTGCTGAAATCTTAATGTTTTTCCTTCAACTTTATTCTGGTTCCTTATTGTATCTAAAATAAATTAAGAATGCAAAATCTGACTTGTAATCTGTGTTTGGAAAAATTAAAGTTGGCTGTCCTTATGATTCCTCTTCTGGTAGCTATCTAACCTACAGGTCCAATGTTCAAGGCTGGTGTTGCCAAGAAAGCTATTTTGGATTTTCCATAATGGTTCCTCCCTTGTCAGTGGGGCAGAATGGAAAGCCTGACAAGGAACAACATATAGGTGTTCACTGTTCAGACATGGATAAGCCACTAAGGTCCCTTGTAACTCGAACCAAATCCTCAATACTCAGTGGGTAAGACATTGCCTGTCTGAACTTGAGTTCCTGTGTTCAATTCTCTGTAAGCCGAGAAAGTTCATCAGAAATCACTGTAATCTGGGTATCATTTAATCCTGTGTATCTAGCACTAAATTCTTTAACAATCGTTTGATATCAAATGTTTGTTTAAAACCGCGTTTCGACCTCTAGCTGGCCGGTCACCTCTGGCTTGCGGCTGTGGTTTCGATCCCAGGTGTGAGCATATGTGGCATGGAGATCGGGCGCCTTCTCAACCTCGTGTGTTTCCTCTGGGCACTCCGTTTTCCTCCCACTGCTAAAGACCCCTACGCAAAAGCGAATTATTGAAATAAAGTTAAAAACATATGTTAGTCCGAAATGACCTAGTTTGTGTCGAGTGGACGCTAAACCCCATTTCGTTCTCTCCCATAATTGCCATGCATGATAAGATCCCTGTGAAGTTGGAATTTAAAATAACAGTAGACTGTAGAACCACTATCTGGGCAAGGTTTCTCTCATAGTACGTTGTACGTTTGGTTTGCAGGGTTGTTCCTTTTGATTGGGGCATCATATAATTACTTGATTTGTCATAGTAGGCAACTACAGACTCCTAACATTCAGAATTAGAATTAAATGTATGTCATAGTGAAGCCGTTGGACCAAATTCCCCCCATAAAATTGATCTATGCATACATCATTTGACCCTCGGTCATAATATATTCGGATGCACAGTCATATCATCCTGTGCACGGACAGATAACTCCACAACTGGAACCAAAAATAGAATCCATACAAATCGTTGTGGCTCGGTGAGTAAGGCGTTGACTGGCTGACCTAGCGGTCCTGTCATTGATCATGGTATTGGCTAAGAAAGTGCATTGTTATAATTAATAGGGTCTAGCACGGAACAGTCATTTACAGGCCCGACGGGGGGGGGGGGGGGGGGGTCACCGCCCAACAATAATTTTGCAGCAAGTACTCTTTTTCTCCAGGTTATTGCGGCCCCTGGACCCTCGCCTATAAGGACCTAGGATGGAAGCCTCTCCCAAATCGAGAAGAACTTCTACCGGCCCTGATTTGAATGGGAAATAAAACCAAGGTCCCACGCATACATTGGAGTGGTCCTGTGTTCGATTGCATGTAAACCAAGATATTTCAACAGTATTGTTTTAGCAGATCACCCTCCACAGTGGTGTGGAATGGAGGACTTGACAACATACAAAGAACACCATGGTCCAGGCACAATCCCCTAATCCCACACAGCAATCACATTACATACAGATCTATATATCGTTTCGTATAACGTCGGACGTTTATTAACCAGATAGCATTGATGTTTCTAGTGGAATACTCACTCGTTGCAACGAATCATTTCATTGGCTTATCCATGGAGCTATCCAACGACACTTTGGTCCGCTAATATCTGACGGAGAAATCAAGTTTTCGCAAAAGCGCCATATGTTTAAACCTTTTTAAACATTTTTTGAATACTTCCGGTGTGGAGATTACTGTCGTGGTAGTTTTAATAACCGGTTTGGGCACTTAAATAACCGTAGGGCCCTGTTATGGATTATTACATTATCTGATCAGACAAAAATGCACCTGAGAAATACCATGTTCAAAGGTGCCAAAAATGTCAAAATATCGAAAATCAAATTTCAATAACTCAATACATATTATACATCGTTAAAATCGTAATTACATCAGCTATCTGAATATGTAACTTTTTTTTGATAATCTCTTAAAATAAAAAAATAGAGCATTTTCCAAAATTACACGATTTTGCGACTTTTTTCGGTTTTCAGGTCGTTATTTGACCTATTCCAGATATATCAAAGTCTTAAAGGAATGTTTCGTACACAAGACTACCAAAGGGTATCTCGATAGAGAAAGTTTCAGAAAAATTTCAATAACTCAATACATAATCGTTATCTCATAAAATAAGAAAATAATAGAGCATTTTCCAAAATTTCACGATTTTTCGACTTTTTTCGATATTCAGCCCTTTATTTGACCTATTCAAGATATTTCAAAGTCTTTAAAATGGAATGTATCGTACACGAGACTACCGAGAGGACTCTCGCTAGAGAATGTTTCAGAAAAATCGCTTGAGTAGTTTTCAAGATATGGGCGTCCAAAAACGCTCAAAATCAGACAATACTTGACTTTCAGCGTACCATATTTTGCTGCTTTTTCGTAGTATCCATATGAATTTGGTATCATAAGATAGTCCAATAGATACTTAACTTCCTGTAACAGAGGTGTTAGAGTTAATATTACGTCACTTCCGTTGCCGACAGAAAAATTTCACCGTAACAAAAAAAATTACAATTGGGACCACGAAGCATATGAACTTTGCTTTATACAAATCGAACAATAAATAATTTTTCGGGGTACGAAAAACTAAATTAGCCGATGGCGGCTAACGCAAATTACCGAGATATTTTTTTTCTCATTTCTGCTCAAGTAGGATAATATTTTAACCCTGTGTAAAATACCATCAAAAAATATTCATAAATAAAAAAGGTTTTCGTAAAAAAAAATTAAAAAGGTTTTCGTAAAAATTGTTTTTTTTTTCAAAATATCGGACATTTTTTCGACTACTTCCGGTTTTACGATCATTGTCGTGATAGTTTTATGAAGTTCTTTGGATACTTAACTTTCTGTACCAGAGGTGTCAGAAACATCCAATGAGTAGTTTTGGAAAAAAAGATAAATCAAAGAGCGTTTCCAAAAATTTAACGATTTTTCAATTTTTTTCAAAGTTTGAGGCCATTTTTGGACCACCTATATTATTTCAATGCTTTTCATTTTGGATTCACTATATAGACAACCGATAGGACTTTGAGTAAGAAAAGTTTAAGAAAAATCGTAGGCGTCGTTTTCGAGAAAATGGCGTCTCAGAATGTTAAAAAATCGGAAAATACTAGATTTTTCTTCATACAATAATTTATTTCCTTACCATCAAAATCGTATTATTTAGATACCACATGATGGTCCATTAATAGGGCTATCCAACGACACTTTAGTTCTTTTGGTCCGCTATTACCTAAGGGAGAAATCAATTTTTTCGCAAGTGCGACAATGTTTTTAACCTTTTTTGAATACTTCCGGTATGGTTATTATTGTCGGAATAGTTTTAATAGCCGGTTTGGGCACTAAAATAGCCACAGGGCTCTGTAATGATATATTACATTATCTGATCAGATAAAATGCCCCTGAGAAATCCTATGTTCAAAAGTGCCAACAATGCAAAAAAATTAAAATATCGAAAATTAAATTTCAATAACTACATACATATTATACATCGTTAGAATCGTAATTAGGTCAGCTATAAGAATATACAACCTTTTTTTGAAAATCTCTTAAAATAAAAAAAAAGTAGAGCATTTTCCAAAATTTCACGATTTTTCGACTTTTTTCGATTTTCAGTCCGTTATTTCAACTATTCCAGATATTTCAAAGTCGTAATGGAATGCTTCGTACACAAGACTACCACAAGGTCTCTCGATAGAGAAAGTTTCATAAAAATCGCTGGCGTAGTTTTTGAGATACAGGCGTCCAAAAATGCTAAAAATCAGAAAATACTTGATTTTCAGCGTGCCATATTTTGCTGCCTGATCATAGTATCCGCAGGAATTGGGTATCATTCAGTGGTCCAATCACCGCCCGACCACATGATACCTTAATTTGTTTAATCCGTTGATATCGGACGGAGAAATCGTGTTTTTACCCAAAACACCAATTTTTCACGTTTCTTTCAAAATATCGCATATTATTTCGACTACTTCCGGTTTAAGGATTCTTGTTGGTTTATAAGTTGGTATTGGACTATAACTTCATGTTCCAGAAGTTTCAGAAACGTCAATTCTGCCATAAAACGAAACCCAAGCTCACAAAATGGGAAGAAAATTCGAAAAAAATCGAAAAATAAAGGGCGATAACTCTGAATAAAACTTATATTACTGGAATCGGATGGACTTTAGGTATCCAAAAATGTAAGTCAAATTTGAAAATTTTGAAAAATAACAAAAATTGTCTCTAGACCTGCAAGCAGCACTGAACCGGCTTTCAGGAATCAGACAGGAAGTGTGTCACACAATAGCCTATTTATCGACCTACCAAACGATACTTTAGATGTTTTGATCCGGTCACACCCGACGGTGAAATCCCGATTGTTGCAAGAGCACCGATTTTTTTTACTGTTTTTTTTTTTAAAAATATCGAATATTTTTTTGACTACTTCCTGTTTACGGATCATTATCGGTATAGATTTAACAAGTGGTATGGGAACTTAACTTCCTGTACCAGAAGTTTCAGAAAGATCCATTGGACATTATACCATTAGAAGCAGATTTACAGATTTAATGATTTTTTGACTTTTTTCAAAGATTGCGACCCTTTTGGACCATTTATGCTATATTTAGGCTTTTAAATTTGGATTCACACCATAGACCACCATTAGGACTCTAATTAACATCAGTTTAAGAAAGGAAATAAATAAGAGAGGTTTTTGAAATAAAAGCGTCTGAATAGGCTCAAAAAAGGAAAATAATAGATTTTCGGCGTTCTATTATTTATTGCCTATCTCGCGAATTTTTACCATTTAGATGTCATGAGATCGTCCATTGTTCGAACTATCCGATGACACTTTAGTTGTTTTGATTCGGTGAAATCTGGCGTAGTAATCACTTTTTTTCGCAAGATTGCCATTTTTTTACTTTTTACGGTTATTTTTTCTCAAAATATCGGAAATTTTTT